TTGCTGCTGCGGCTGCCGCTGCCGCATTAACAGCAGCTGGCGAGGTGTGAGTCCTTAACGTTGCTATTCTTGTTTGCTCTTTAAACACCCCTCTAAAACCAAACAAATACTGCTGCAAAGATAAAGAAGACATCAGCAAACAACCCCCGACCAAGTGTATGGGCCCTGTGGGGCCGGGGGGGAGCCGCCGCCGACGCTCCCGGCGTTTGCTGCTGCGTTCTGCGATGTATTGTCTGCACTTTAGTTCTGTTTACTCTTTTATTTCATTCATTTATTTGATTTTATGCTTAACCTGCATGAATATACGCTTGTCTTCTGTGCTGATTTAAACAACTGCTGCTGCAACCCACCGTGAGGCTCGCTGGGCGCGGCGGCGGCTCGTCGCTGTACAAGGCGCAGCGGCAGCGCTGCAGAACCTAAGAGGAAAGAATAAAGCAGCAAAAAGCAGTTAAAACAAAGACAAAATAACAGAAACAAATTATTAAGAGCGAAGATAATACACACAGAATGGGGGGGATGGCACACACCTGCTGCCTACACTGGGCAGCGACGCTGCTCGTCGCCACAGCAGCAGCAGCAGCAGCAGCAACAACAACAACAGCAGCTGCAGCTGCAGCAGCCGCATCAGCAGCAGGGGCAGCAGCCGCAGCTGCACCTTCTGCACCTGAGATCGGTGTGGCGGATGACCAGCCGTGCAGCTGCTCTGGTGTGTCAGCAGCAGCAGCAGCAGCTGCTGCTGCTGCTGCAACGCCTACGCCTCTACCACCTCCGTCTGTTTCTGGAGTTTCTCCAGAAGGAGTTTATTTCATTCCCGATCCGCTTCCAGAAGGAGAAACGCCAGAGGGCTGTTTGAAGGGGAAGGAGCAGCAGCAACAGCAGCAGCAGCAGCTGCTGCTGCAGCAGCAGCAGCCAGAGCAGCAGCAGGAGGCGAGTGAAGGAGGTGTGGGGCCCATGTGCTCTCCTGACGACAGCGCAGGCTGGGCGCATCCGTCTTCATACACGGCGAGTATTGTCTTTACACCCGACCGCGGGAAGGCGATGCCCAGAGACAGAGACGCAGAGACGGAGGCAAAGCAAGAAAAAGAAACGAAGCAAGAGACAGGCAGTAAACAAGAGACAGAAGATAAACAAAAAACAGACGCACAACAGCAGATAGAGAAGCAGCAAGATATAAAGATGCAGCAGGAAACAGAAGAACCCGCTGCACAAGATGATGATGCTGCTGCTGCTGTTGCTGCTCCTCGGCTGGATGAGAGGCTGCACCACGCATTGTCTGCAGCACAGCAAGAGATAAGACAAAAGCTGGCAGCAGAACGCAGGACAAAGGCAGCCGGTCACCCGCAGCAGCAGCAGCAGCAACAGCAGCAGCACGAGCAGCAGCAGCAGGATGAGGAAGGCTTGTGCCGCAGGGGGCGGGCTCCTTCATACGAAGACCGCCGCCAGCATTTTTTGAGTGAATTTGCCTCTGAATACTCAATTAAGGCAGAGGAAACCGCAATAAGAGAACTGCAGCGCCTCCAGGGGGATATCTACTTGGACTATGCAGGTGATGAAGCAAAAGAAGTACAAGAGAAGGAACAGAGAGAGAGATTTAAGCAGAAAGAAAGAGATGCATAAGACAAGGAAGACCGAGGAGAGAATGAGCCGTCTTAGATCTCACAAAAGAAAGGAAACAAAGAACACGCAGAAACAAACAAATGTGTATGAAACAGATAGACATACAGAGATAGATGGAGGTGAAGATAGACAAACAAATAGACAGACAAACACCGAAACCAGTAACGCTCGATAAGGCGCCAATGGCAGCCGTAGAGCTACTGCTGCTGTTGCTGCTGCGGCTGTTGCTGCTGCTGCTGCTGCTACTGTTGTGCAGTTGTTTGCTTGCGGGTTTTGCTGCGGCGTTGCATGCGTTTGTTTGGCTGTTAGGGAGTGCGCTGTACGAAGAGCAGCAGATTTTGTCTGTCTTTAAAGACTTGGGGCTGCATGCATTTGGCAACGCCCACTCGCGAAACAACTCAGCGAAGTTCACAGGTGAAGACAAAAGATAAACGCCTTTTCTCCTGCCTTTTCTTCTCCTCTCTAATTTCATCTCGAGGCACATAATATATATATGAATATATATATATATATATATATATATTCTTTCATATATATGTTTATATGTGCATGCTTAGACGAGTGTCTGTCTATTTATGTGTATTAATATAAGTAAGTAAATGCACTTGTACAGGTGCTTGCAGGTTGCGGGCTAAAGAGATGCACAAATCTGCGTGCATTTGCATGTATCGTAGGCCCTGTGCAGCAGCAAATATTATTATTATAGTATGCTGTTATATTATATTCATATAATAAAATAACATAATATGTATTATTATATATATGTATATATATATTTATAATATTATAGTGCAAAAGACTTCATGTATAATAAATGCGTTTATATACGCGTTTCTGTATACCACCACCTTTCTTCAAATGTGTATGCGCACAGCAGTATATATAGAATGTATATTTTTGTATGTGTACATATTATTTGATATTCGTTATATTATTATTGTGAATGCGTACTGTCTAGATCGCTCTACACTCATGCCTATATATACAAGTATGTATTCACACACCAGTACATATATATATATATATATATGCATATTTCTATATCTAAATGCATAATATGCAGATGCAAAGTGAACGTATTTACAACTCTTTATACACATACCTGCATACAAATCTGTACAGACCCATCAATACCTACGCACACAACATTGTATATATGCATATATACCAGAATATATATATATATATATATATGCATATATGTACACGAAATTATATTTGTATTTATGTTT